GGCATGCCAATAAATATTAACAATAAAGCAGACGCGCAAAAGGAAGAGCCGTCCAGCAATATGGCAAACTGGTTACGTCTGCTTATCACTGGATCTGCAATCTCGCCTCACCTCTTGTCCTCCATAAAGGCGAGACATTGGATTGTAAAGTGGCGTGGTTATTTCTGTCAAGGGCCGAGGCCGGGCATTAGCCGTGTCCTCTCCCTGGCACTTCTGATGAGCAGACAGAAGAAATCCTCCATTTTCTCGCAGCACTGCACTGAAACATTTAGCCATTCAGCCAGGACTTGGAGAGGCAAAATGCGTTTAATGAGATCTGCCTTGCCATCTCCATCTTGTAACTCCCAATTGAGGGGACAATGAAATTTCATTGGCCCGTGCTGTGTAATCCCCGGCTTCCTTAATGTAATTGGAAATCAAAGAGTCCCCTTTAAACTGTCCCTTTATTACTCAAAGCAGCTGGATGGAGGTTTTTTGTATCGGTTATTGGTCTCCAACAGGCTTAAGATGTGGGCCGTTTATTGTGGGAAACCAATAAAGTTTCTTTATGATGGAGCCAGGTAGTCTTACATGTGTATGGGTGCGTTTCGCCCTGAGTTTTATCAGCATTGTAACACTTGCTCCAGGCCGGTTACTATTATTGCGGGATTAATTGGTGCTCGATGGTCAAATCCCCAGGGTTATTGTCTGCATCGGGTATAAATTGAGTTTGGTCCCTTAGCATACCGTAAGATCTTAAATTCCCATAGGGCGCCAGCAGGTCATGCTAGCTTGTAAGGAAGGAGGCTAAGTAATGTTTTTGTAAAGATATGACCCATTTTTCGTATGCAGTATAAACGTATATTTGGCTATATATAGCTTGGCTTCTAAAATGTTGTATTTAAATATGTCTGCACACTAGGGTTCCTAAACAATCTGGGTGGCATGAACTGGGTATGAACGGAAAGCTGAGGCATGTGATGATGTTAGCTCCCGTCGTACACACTTTATTATTGTGAGGAAATGCTTCAAAACTTGACCTTGCTGTTTAAAGTGAGCTGGTTTGATCTCTAGGGCAATCTCCTACATTTTTTTAAACCAAAAATGACTGACTTAATACATAGTTGTCTCTTCACCATTCAATTGATGCAAACTGCAAATTCTTGTCGAAATCTCCAAATGTCAAACGTGTTGGATAAATAATATTTGTGATCAAACGTTGTTACATTTTGCACCATGTTTTGTAGCAAATGATCACCCCCAAAATCGTTGAAACGTCTTAATACTCGGACGTTATGGAGCATGAGAAATTGAGTGGCCATTATATACTTTTATATATACTTCCCTTTTAACATTTTAATTGGTGCCTTACCAAAGAAAAAGTTTTATATTTGACAATCTTTTTCTATCTTTTATCAACAAAAACATATTTATTTACTCAACAATTCTCCACCCTTTCTTTCTAAGCCCCGCCCCCCCGGCTCTCCCCTCCCGCTCCAGCTGTTGCAGCGCCTCACCAGTTATTAACACACAATTACAATCTATTTAGGAGGCATCACTATAAGGACCAGTGATGTTGCAGCTCATTTCTACCAAATGAACTTGTACACACACACACACACACACACACACACACACACACACACACACACACACACACACACACACACACACACACACACACACACACACACACACACACACACACATGCAGTGTTGGGAGTTGATTAATTAGGACACCATTGATTGAAATGTTGGTTGATTTCTGTAAAAATAGCTGGGTAGCGCTCCGATAGCCTTTGTTGGTCTCTCGCGCTGTTTTTAAATGGCACACGGAAAATGTAATGTGTATACATCTATTAGTGCTTGCAGATAATTAAGTGAGGGAAAACTTATGAAGCAGCTGATTTACAGCGTTTGTGTGGAAATATTTAGATTTACGACCATTTACAGCAATGAAATTAGCATTTTTATCCCAAGCAATCATGCATTTTTATGCCAATCGTCAATGTCGGACTCAATTTAGCTCACTATAACATCGTAACGTGTTTTATTGTTTAGTGAGTGAACCTTTATATACCTGAACATGGCTGCCCTCCCCCTCTGAGGCTTCACTCCCCTATACGAGACATGATGCACCTTTAATGTGTCGCGGCGAATTGAGAACAGCAGGGTGGGAGGTAGACTGCACACTGGGAGCCCACAAGGCACGCCAAGATCAAGCACCAGAGAGAAAGGAGACATTCCCCTGCATACATGAATATCATTCCAGCGAGGGAGGAAGAAGAACAAAGCCCACTGCAGTTAATGACTTTCTGTATCTTCAAGAGAGCGCTGCTTCTCTTCTGCCCTTTTGCAGTCCCCAGGTTCGAAAGAAGAAAAACAAGTAGCTGTGGCAGGAGATAAGAACTCTTATTGGCAGCATGTTTTTCCTATCATTATGTCATGGTTATGGTATATTAAAGCCCCTTTATTTTCATATTAACAATGGCTTAAGGCTACATGTCAATTTTTTACATTCAGCGCTTCTATTGATGTTTTTGAATGAAGCTAAAGATTTATGTTTTATATTAAAGGTGCATTCCTTTCTGAGAGAAGATACGTTTTTATGTTGTAAAAAAAAGGTTTTTAAAAGACCCAACACCGACAAATATAGGTTGTCGCACAATATTTTGGTAAGTAAAACCATTTTGGAAGTGATGACATCAATCTTTTTAGTCAATCTCTCTAATAATTTACAACTATTCAACGCTCTGGTTTATTGGACATGTTTGGATCACACACGTCGAAAACAATCCCACGCAGATAACTGGAATCTAATTAGTTACCCTAATCTTTATGTGCAACTATGGAGAAAATACTGCTTTAGACACACTGAGAAGACATGTCAAAAATAAATAAACTGCACATTTATTATTCCAATGAAAATGTAATGGATGAAGCTGGAATTTGTTCAGTACATTCCTATAAGTAATAAAGTAGGGGAGTGGATCGCTCACAAGGATCAAGCCTGAAAATTACCACCAAAAATCTGCAGTTCTTTAGCTTATAAGGAGCCAAATAGCATAGTGTAGTTATTTGTTAACCACATGGTAAAATACTGTATTGGTTCCTTGTCATTTTGGCTGCAGAAAACGAAGAAAAAAAATAGAAAAGCGTTTCAGCTAGTATCTAAATAGCCTGATCTTGATCACAAACGCTGTAGGGTTCATCCTGTGGGGACCATGACTATCCGTACTGCTGTCGCTGGCCCATACTAAAGCTTCCATTAGTTGATATCCCATCTGCATCTCACAGGAAGAAATGAGCAGACGCTGTACTGCGAGGCGCCTGAGAAATGATCACTGTTCTGAATAATGACGACATTTGAACCATACATTAAATCAAATTGAACTTCTAATCGTTCTCTAAATGATGTGCAGTAAAACCACTCTCCTCAAGGAGTTTGTTCTCATTCTGAACATGTTCCTCCTTTGCTTAATTTCCACGCTCAAGGTGCCCTTGTGCACGGCACCTCGGCAACAGCAGTTCCCACAGAGCTCAATGTGTGTTAAAGCGTGTTGTGTATGTTTGCGGGCAGAAAAACAAACCTGGGCAAATATGGGGTCAAGAGAGCAATCATCATCATTGCCACTAACATTATGGCACTTCAATATTTCTCTGCTTTTCTGCCAAACACTCGGAACAAGTTAATTAAATCTTCTGTCAGGCATGGAAATCACTGCTTTCATCCTTCTTCCTTTCACATCAGTCACATCAGGGCCATGTATAATCACACGTGTTTTAGGGGCTGTCATTTCCTGTGCATGTTAAACATTTCTCTCCATTCGGCACTGATGCTAATCACTAATGCGGCGCTGTTTTTTCTGACTGTCGCACATGTCCAGTACACACATGTTTTAAAACGTGTCAACGGTGGTTGTGTGTGGCAGATTTATTGAAGTTTATATGAGATGTTATGCAGGGACAAAGTGCACCGCGCAGACACACAGGTTGTAGGAAACACACATTTCCCCGGGGCTATCATGCTGTAGGGATCGGAACTTAGCTGCCACTACTCAAGGAATGTACATTTCCCCAGGGGTCTGTTTGTAAGAGCAGAGCAAGGGGACAACAAAATAAATACTATGGGGACATTGTACAAACAACTTACTGTGTGTGTGTGTGTGTGTGTGTGTGTGTGTGTGTGTGTGTGTGTGTGTGTGTGTGTGTGTGTGTGTGTGTGTGTGTGTGTGTGTGTGTGTGTCCTGTTGCGCACAGCGTGTGTGTGATTAAGCCAAGATGTAATGAATAGGGACAGTTCCCTGTTGGTTAGCCATGGAGAGCTTTTTTCCAGCTGAGAGCAATTAACCTGTTTGTTGGATTGACTGAGAGATTGCACAATGTGACCCGAACACAACCGACTTTTGGCTTCCTACAGTGTTTTCATATGTAGCAGTGACTCATAACTATTTGACAGGTTAAACATGTAGGCATTTATTTGCAGGGATGAGGAGTAACTGAGTACATTTACTCAAGTACAATTTCCTGCTTCTTTGTGCTTACTCTTAGTTAGTTTAGTTTACTTTGAAGATTCATATCAATTACATTTCTTTTTTAAGGGTGACAAGACAGGCAGAGACACAAACAAAAACACATAGTAGAGAAAGCGCATAAAAAAAGACAAATGTTCAAATGAACCAAAAATCAAAGCATTGAGAAGAGTCCGTTTTATGACCAGGTGATATTAAACATGTGGCATCTTTAATGAAACTCTATCTTATTCATTCATTTTTTAGTTAAAAGTGTTTCAAGTGATACATTTATTTCTGAGTTTTAAGTCTTTATGCAACATATTAAAACGTTAGTATGAGCATTTGGAACAGAAGTCCTGAGAATCATCTTTAAAAGTGAAAAACAAGTTAACAGAGTACTCACCACAATTACTCTTCATTACTCCTTCATTCACTACTTTGTGTCATTCAATGTGTTGTGTCTGCTTTCTGTGAAAGATGACAGCGTTTTGTGTTTGTGTTCCTCAGACCAGTGCGGTGCTGTGTTCGGGAGGCTGCGCCCTGCTGGCCCTCAGCTCCCTGTTGGCCATCATCACCATGTTCCTGCCCAGCGGAGGGTGTGAGCGGAGGATCTGCACCCTGGCCGGATACATGCAGATGGCTTCAGGTTGGTGCAGATGTGAACACACACATAGTTACATGTCCAAAATACATGATTTTTAACGACTGTGCCGTGGCAAACCAGTGTGCAATGAGAGACCGTCAAGTGTGTTGTGAGAAATTGTCCAATTTCACTTGATCGGTCCAAAGGAATATCATTTAGTTGCTGCAAATACAATCCAAGTGTCATGGTCCCAAGCTAGTTTAAGCATCATCTCTAAAGGAAACCCCTGTCACTTCACAACAAGAAAACCGACTATTTTGCTTGCCTGCATAAACAAACTGAGAAACGGGTAACTTTAATGATATTTTTTTTCTCATACAGATATTCTGAACAATCTGTGCTGTTGTATTAGCTGTAGTGTCTCTACTGTAGGCTATTTTTATTATATGTACAGCACTTTGGCTCGACCAAAAATCGTTTATAAATGTGCTATATAAATAAAACTTGATTTGATTTGATAAACACCAAATTGAGAGACTTATCATTAAATTATAATCAGGTACATCAACTGGTACGCATGCGCGGCAAATATCTGAAATGCGTAACGTCACTTGTGTCACTACGCGCCTTTGTGTACCTGATAGGTCATCAAAACAACACACATATTTCGTCAAACACGTGTTTCTTGTCAACACACAGAGGTGAAAGAAATACTCAGATCTTGTGTAGAAATAATCTGTTACAGTAAAAGTCCTGCATTAAAAATGAGACTCAAGTAAAAGTAGTAAAGTATTATCATAAAAAATATAGTTAAAGTACCAAAAGTAAAAGTAGTCATTTTGCAGATTGGTCCATTTCAGAATCATATATATGATATGTTTTATAATTATTGATCATTAAAGTGTTATAAAATTAGTTTTAATGACTTTGTATTAGGGCTGCTCAATTAATCGTATTTTAATCGCAATTACGATTATGGCTTGCAACGATTACGAAAACAACGTAATCGAAATAAAACCATTATTTTTGTATTACTTTTTTTTTTCAAATATATATATTTTTTTATTGGTTTTTCAGTTGAATTATACTTAAAGTTCAGGGTAATCAACTGTTAAACATGCGGTTCACATTTTTTTCTCCAATAAATTGATGTTTTCAAAGTAAATGGATAATCGTTTTTAATAATCGTGATATAAATTATTGACCCAAATAATCGAGATTATGATTTTTGCCATAATCGAGCAGCCCTACTTTGTATCAGGGGGTCCGCGGGGTCTTAAAAAGTATTAAAAGTTGATGAATCAATTTAGTGAAAATTAAGGCTATTAAAAAGTATTAAACGGCATTTTCCAAGGTATTACATTTTGTAGCTTGTTTTCAATAAGTATATAAATTGTCCAAAGAGGTTGTATTCTACAGTGTGCCTGAATGTAATCATTGCGTAGGTGTGTAGTGTGATTCTGTGTAGTTTATTGATGGCATCCCGTTGGATTGGACGTCATCTGAACAGGACATCGCACGCTCACTGCTTGATAGCGCGCGAAGGTCCGTTTACGCCGGTTGTTAAACAACATCGTTATGAGGAAATGCAAGTCTGCGTCCAAATGGTTGGAAGATAAGGAGGAAGGACAATCAATACTGTATATAGTCAATGTGAGGTAAAGTGTGTCGCCAATGTAACCGGTTAAAACTCAAAGTGGCGATGAGGTATGGAAAGGGTCTTAAAAGGTATTCAATTTGACTTCAGGATTCCTGCATATACCCTTTGTATACTGCGGGGTAGCTTGTGAATTTACTCCCGGTGTGACTAAAGTCTGATTTAAGACTTGATTATATTTCACATCATTCATCCAAATTTGTAAAGTAACTAAAGGTATTAAATAAATGTAGTAGAGTAAAAGTACACCATTTACCTCTGAACTGTAGTGCAGTAGAAGTACAGTACAAAGTAGCATAAAATAGAAATACTCAAATCAGATATGACTCCCTCAAGTCATGTGATCATTTCTTAGTATTCAATCCTTCAACCTAGCCTCAGGAAATGCAAGGACTTCACAGTTTTGGCAACACGTTTTGGAGGCTTAAACAGGGACAGGGGGGGTGCATCTGCAGCATCTTCATCATCTACCATGCAAGAAATAGAGGACAGTGAAGGAGACACTGAGGAGGACAGTGAGGTAGACTGCAGTTATTAACACCACGCTTCATGTGAGGTGAGTACCAAGCGCTGTCTCCTGGTACTCATCTGAGTAACTCACTAAGAAAGTTATGTGCACCCCTGCTTATAATTATATATGTTGTTAAAGGCTACAATGTGTCATTTAGTAACTTTTTGTGTTGTTAATGTGCGGCAGGATTTTTTTTTAATGTAAAAAATGTACTGTCTGTGACTGAAAAAAGGTTGAAAAATACTGCATTAACCAACTTGGCTTTAGGTCCTGCTTCTGTGTATAAAATGTATTCGAGTATGTTGTATGTTGTACTCTCAAGTCCTTCACTATCCAATCTTTCACCCCTGCATAAGCACTGATAGCGCTGGCTATTATCAGAATGATATAAAAAAGCTGACTCTTTTGCTCATCAGTCAAAAAAGAAAAGAAAAACCCCAATGGAAAGAACTCGAGGATAGCTGCTGCTAGGCAACCAGACTCTGCATAGCACTTGAAGGGGTGAACGAGCAAAGGGAAGGAGGGGAAGGATTTAAAGCCTGCTGTAAAAAACACAATTAGGCCTCCTTAACACAGGTCATTGGGTCAGGGTTACATGTGGCTTATCAGGCCGACACTTCCACTCAAACAGAGGAGCAGTCTCGTAAACAAAGCGCCGTCTTGTCAGCGCTTGGGCTTTAAAAAAAACCTGTAATATGGCACGGCTCATGTCTCGTCTCAGCACTAGCCTTCAAATTCACATTGTGCAGCAGACCATTTTAATAGCGGTTGGTACAAGCCACTTTTTTTCATGCCATTCAACCTGTTTGAATTATTGCTCGGCGATATGGAGTATGTCAAGTATTAAGATATTACCAAATACCCTCGTATTGATCAAGGGAGGACAATGTTGTAGGTTTGATCATTGGTGCTTCCACAGAATATTTACACCATTGATCATTAATGCAGAAGTAATGACCTAATGGGGAAAAAACAAAAAATTAATATTGGAAATTACATCACTTCACTGTAACGCACCCTTTTAAAATCGACACGATATTATTGTGTTTCCCAAATGTAGGACCATGTATAGTTTTGTGTCACAATATCGATTAAATATTGATATATTGTCCAGCCTGAGTTTGTGTTAATCCAATGTATTCTTCTGTTCAACTTTAATTGTAATTTCTATCCTCCTCGTGCATTTGTTTAGCTTCAGCAGCATCCATCCTTGAGAATATTGAGTAGCTCATTTAAATCCGTGCCTGTAGCATTTAATTAAGCGTATTTAGAGGCTGAATTAATTGGGCAGGTTAAATCTTTACTGACAAAACAGGAACTTTAGCCGGGCGCGTTTAATGGCGTGTTTTATGGGCTTGTTGGTTACAGCCAGACTCTGATACTTTTCTATCGGACTCCAGATTCAGATCAATGTTTCTTTGGGAAGGATGATAAGACCTCTTCCCCTAAAGCAGGGGTGGGGAACCTCCGGCCTCCGGGCCGTATACGGCCCGCGAGACCATTTGGTACGGCCCTCGAGGTAATTTATAAACACACGCAAAAAAGAAAATAAATCTAGACCGCAGAATAATTAAACAAGCGAGTGCCTGTTTTTCCTGGCCAAGGTCAGGGTCCTTGAACACAACACGAGCCTAACGTGTCATCACGTGATATATGTCTCGTCTGACAGGTGTGTAGTGCTGACGGAGAGCACCAGAACGCGGCTCCGGGCCGGGACTTCACAAATTGCAGTACCCATAAGGAGCTGTACACATGCCGCAGTTTTTGCGTGGCTGTGTCTTAGTTGAAAGCCCAGTGGCGATCTGTTCATCTGTCATACTGATCATACAGTCAATAACTTTGTTGTTATTAGCATCTGGTTAGCTAGCTATGCTAACGAATATAAGAAGCTTTTTCTCCAACCAGTGAGGTAAAGGCACATCTTTATATGATCATTATAGTTATAAAACAATAAGAGAATAAAGTAAACAGGTATAAAATACTATATGATGGTAACAAAAAGTTATTATTAAACAAGAATACAGTTTAAAAGGGGAGTGATTTGTAAAATATCCATAAAAAAAAAATTCTGCTTACAGTTCTGTTTCATCTGGGTGTTGAGAGATGTATCCATAGATCTATTAATTTTACTCTCAAAGTGCACCAGATTGATGCTTTTAACTTCAACATTAAAAACATTTTTTCCTGGTGGTGCATGCCCCCAAACCCCCCTAGATGAGGTTAGATCCCCCCCACTTAAATCATGTCCACATGGATATTAAACTAAATACATTTGCACACATCTTGTGTCCATATATTTCTGTTTTGGTGGTCATGCCACAGTGCATGCATGCGCGGGTCATGGTCAAATATCTGGATTAAGAGGTTGCTTTTTCTTTGCACAGCATGAAAGAAAGGCGAAATCAATGGGCTGTGATTTTAGTTTTTTAAGCAGACGTTGAGTTCAATAATTTGTACGGCCCTCGAAGGATGTTGTACAAATTGAAATGGCCCTTGAGAGGAAAAAGGTTCCCCACCCCTGCCCTAAAGCAAGAGACTTTTGTAGATGTTTGTGTGTGTTATCCCGTTCTGTGTGTTTTTCACAGCGACAGACTTTGCAAAGTCACAATGCGAAGCGATGAGCCTTTGTTTGGTTTCCAGGTCGACTCTTGTCTGGATAGAAAGAGGTTTCACACACAGCCCACAAAGCCCCGAGGAGGGCACATCACAAGAGTGTTTGTTTTCCCAGCTCTGCAAGTGTGTGCGTTTGTGAGTGCGTGTTGAGTGCTACCAAAGAGTGCTGATAAACTGAAACAAGTAGATTAAGAAGAATGGTTTTCTTTTTACCCTCAGTGTTGTATTCGAAGGTGTGTGTATGTGTGTGGTTTCTAGCAGCCTGGAAGAAATGAACTGCTG